ATACTCAGAGATACTAGGTTCATTCAGTTCCAGACCACCACAATAAAGTGAATATTGCTATAAAGCAAATGTTACAATGAAGCAAGTCACATGGCATTTTTTGGTTTTCCAAGCACATAAAAGTTATGTTTACACTATACTACAGTCTCTTAAGTGTGCAGTAGCATTATATCTAGAAAACGATGCACATAACTTAATTTTAAAAATACTTTATTGCTAAAAAATGCTGACAGTCTTCTGAGCGTTCAGCAAGTTGTAATCTTTTTGCTGGTGGTCTTGCCTCAGCGTTGATGGCTGGTGACTGATCAGGGTCGTGGTTGCTGGAGGTTGGAGTAGCTGTGGCAATTTCTTACAATAAGACAACAATGAAGTTTGCTGCATCGGTTGACTCTTCCTTTCATGAAAGATTTCTCTGTAGCATGTGATGCTTGATAGCATTTTACCCACAGTAGAACTTCTTTCAAAATTGAAATCACTTCTTTCAAACCCTGCCACCACTTTGTCAACTAAGTTTATGTAATACTCTAAATTCTTTGTGGTCATTTCAGCAATGTTAACAGGATGGGCATAGTGGCTCAATGCCTATAATCCTAGCACTTTGGGAGGTCAAGTCAGAAAGATTATTTGAGAGTTCAAAACCAGCCTGGGCAACATAGCAATACCCCTGTCTCTACAAAAGATTAAAAAATTAGCCAGGTGTGTCCCAGCTCTTAGGGAGGCTGAGGTGGGAGGACTGCTTGAGCCCAGGCGTTCAAAGCTGCAGTGAGCTGTGATTGTGCCTCTGCACTCCAACCTGGGTGACAGACTGAGACCCTTTCTCTATTTAAACAAAATAAAACAAAACAAAAAACAGTGTTAACAGCGTCTTCAGCAACAGTAGATTCCGTCTCAAGAAACCACTTTCTTTGCTCATCCATAAGAAGCAACTCATCTGTTAGTTTTATCATAACATTGTAGCACTTAGTCAACATCTTCAGGCTTCACTTCTAATGGTCTTCTCTTGCTATTTGTAGCCCATGTGCAGTGATTTCTTCTACTGAAATCTTGAACCCCTCAAAGTCATCCATAAGGGTTGGAATCAACTTCTTCCAGTCTGTTTTGACCTCATCCCATGAATCACAAATGTTCCTATTGACATCTAGAAGGGTGAATCTTTTCCAGAAGATTTTTCAATGTACTTTGCCCAAATCCATCAGAAGACTTACTATCTATGGCAGCTATTGCCTTATAAAATGTATTACTTAAGTGATAAGACTTGAAAGTTGAAATTACTCCTGATCCATGGGCAGCAGAATGGATGTTGTGTTAGCAGGCATGAAAACAACATTAATCTCCTTCTACATCTCCATCAGAGCTCTTGGGTGACTAGGTGCATTGTCAGTGAGCAGTAATATTTTGAAAGGAATCTGTTTTTCTGATCAGATGGTCTCAACAGTGGGCTTAAACTATTCAGTAAACCATGCTGTAAAGAGTTTTGCTGTCATCTAGACTTTGTTATTCCATTTATAGAGCGCTGGCTGAGTAGATCTAGCATAATTCTTAAAGGCCCTAGGATTTTCAGAATGGTATATGAGCACTGGCTTCAACTTAAAGTCACCAGCTGCATTATTGCTGCCTACTAACAGAGTCAGCTTGTCCTTTGAAGCTTTGAAGCCAGGCACTGACTTCTCTCTAGCTATAAAAGTACTAGGTGGCATCTTCCTCCAATAGAAGGCTGTGTTGTCTACATTGAAAATCTATTGTTTAGTGTAGCCACCTTCATCAGTTATTTTAGCTAAATGTTCTAGCTAACTTGCTGCATCATTTCCATTAGCTCTTCCTGCTTCACCTTATACTTTTATGTCATTGAGACAGCTTTTTTCTTTAAACTTTATGAACCAACCTCTGATACCTTTAAACTTTTCTTCTGCATCTGCTTCATCTCTCTCATTCATGTGTTCACTGGAGTAGCACTTTATTTACTTACTTATTTATTAGAGACAGGGTCTTACTCTGTTGCCTGGGCTGGATTGCAGTGGTGTAATCATAGCTCACTGTAACTTCAAACTCCTGGGCTCAAGCAACTGCCTGCTTCAGTCCCCTGAGTAGCTAGTACTATAGGGCAGGGGCCACTGTGCCCAGCTAATTTTTTTTAATTTTTTGTAGTGACCAGAGTCTCGCTATGTTGCCCAGGCTGGTCTTAAACTCCTGGCCTCAAGCAATACTCACACCATGGCCTCCCAGAGTGCTGGGATTATAGGTGTGGGCCACCAGCTCCCAGTGTGGAGTAGCATTTTAAATTTTCTTTAAGAACCTTTCCTTTGCATTCACTGCTTGGCTAACTGGCCCACGAGGCCTGCCTTTTGACCTGTCTTTGCTTTTAACATACCTTTCTTAGTAAGCTTAATAATTTCTAGCTCTTGATGTAAAGTGAGTAATGTGGGACTCTTCTTTTCACTTGAACACTTAGAGGCCACTGTAGGGTTAATTGGCATAATTTCAATATTGTTGAGTCTCTGGGAATAGGTGGCCTGCCATGAGGCGAGGTAGAGAGATAGGAGAGGAAGACTGGATCGGTCAACTGGTGGAGTGGTCAGAACACATAAATTTATCACTGTCTTATATGGGTATGGTGTGTGGTACCCCACAACAATTAAAATAGTAATACCAAAGATCACTGATTGTAGGTCACCATAACAGGTATAATAATAATGAAAAGGTTTGAAATATTGCTTAAATTACCAAAATGTGACAGAGACATGAAGTGAACACATGCTGTAGGAAAAATGGAGCCAACGGACTTGCTCGATACAGGATTGCCACAAATTTCAATTTGTAAAAGACGGAATATCTGCAAAATGCAATAAAGGGAAGTGCAATGAAACAAGATGTGCCTGTATATACCTAGGAGTGGAATTGCTGGATTATAGGGTAATTATGTGTTTAGCATTTTGAGGAACCACCAAACTATTTTCCATAGTGGCTATATCATTTTGCATTCCTGTCAGCAGTGTATGTAGTTCCCAATTTCTCCACATCCTTGCAGACACTTGTTACTTTGACACATTGCCTGTTGAGTTTGTCAGGTCTCTTGGGTCTTATCTGGGTAGTTCCTCGGACTTTTGTCTACTTTGACCATGATAGTTTTGGAAATTATTGGCCATTTGTTTAACAGAATTTCACTTAATTTGAATTTGCTTGATGCTTGCTTATGATTAATTCAGGTTGTGTGTTTTGGGAAGTGTATGTCAGGAGTGATATTGCATTGTTTCTCATTGCATCTCAGATTAGTTGCCACATGATGATGATGTTAACTGATGATGCTAACTTTGAAGCAGTTTTGTAAGATAAAGGTGGTGCCTATTAGACTTCTTCATTGTAAAGTAATATTTTCCTTTTATAATTGGTATCTCGTGGGAAGAATCTTTGAGACTATATTAATATCCTGTTTATCATCATGCTTTTACCGACTAATTTTAGCATCCATTGATGAATTTTGACTAAAACAATTACTACTGTGGCATTTCCTATTTGGTGATTTTCCTCCGTTAATTTTTCATCATGTGAAATCTATCTATGACATTGTAGGAAGCTTGTTTATTTAGAATCACGTAGTGATAAAGTTGAGAGGATCTTAAAGGATCCTCTAGTGACAACCCTGCTGGATAATCATACCATGTCAGTGGTGGAGTGGGTCTTATAAACACAGACTATATAAAATTCATATTTGGAATATTTTTACGATGTTATTAATTGGCATTCTTTTAGTGTAGATTAGAACGGTGTTACTTTACGTTGATCTGTGGACCGGTGCTAGTCCACAAATTATTTATTACTGTATGTAAAAATACAGTAAAATGTGATAAGTTGAGGCAACAAGTAAGTGCTTAGACTCTTTCACCAAAATTTGACATTATCATAACAATTGTATGGTTTTTGCAGGAGTATTTGTCTATAACAGAGTGAAAATTTTAAAAAACTTAATCCTTTATCTCAGTTGGCTTGAAAAGCGTTGGCCATAAAGAACACTCAAAAACTGAAATGCTTGGGAGGCCGAGGCGGGCGGATTGTTTGAGCTCAGGAGTTCGAAACCAGCCTGAGCAAGAGCGAGACCCTGTCTCTACTAAAAATAGAAAGAAATTAATTGGACAACTAAAAATATATAGAAAAAATTAGCCAGGCATGGTGGGCATGCCTGTAGTCCCAGCTACTCAGGAGGCTGAGGCAGGAGGATCGCTTGAGCCCAGGAGTTTGAGGTTGCTGTGAGCTAGAATGATGCCACGGCACTCTAGCCCAGGCAACAGAGTGAGACTCTGTCTCAGAAAAAAAAAAAAACTGAAATGCTTAATAGATCTGTTGAATATGTACATCATGGTGTTCAGAAATCACTACATTCCTTAAGTAGTTATATTATGCGCATGCCACTGGATTATGTGAAGGAAAAAGGTTAGAAAAGAGGGGAATGTAAATATAGATAGGAAAAATAGGAAGATAGATGCAGGAAAGAGAAAATGTTTCATTATTTTATGAGTAGGCAATAATGCTTTAAGGTACATTCACTGGCATATCTGATGTAGATTGCCTCTTTCATCTGCAGCTTTGTTTTCAGCTTTGTTAATTTATATGTATTAGGAACCAGATTGATACAGAATCACAGAGTTTTAAAAAATAATCCCTTTTTACGTGAGAGAAACAGAAAGTGTGGTAAATGTTCTACATTTTATGTCCTTAACATTATCACGTAGAGAAGGCACTAATTTTCAGAAGAGCTAAGAGAAGGAAAGGAAGGGGAAACCAGTCAAAGTACTTAGCAGTTTTCTATAAAGAGGCAAATGAAGAAAACATCAAAGAGAAGAGAGAAATTGTTGTGGGGGTGATTGTTCAGTATGTGTTAGTTCTATCAGTTTATTTAGTTCCTGCTTAGTTGGTAAATTACGTTTGAATCTGCAAAGTATTTATTAATTATTATTATTATTTTGGCCTTTGTAATAGATTATTTTAATTTGATCATTGTTTTCTAGGAATACAGGAGTTTCCAGAAAATATAAAAAATTGTAAAGTTTTGACAGTTGTGGAGGCCAGCGTAAACCCTATTTCCAAGTAAGTTCTTTTCAGTTGAATTATAAGTTACTTATGTGATTAAAACAATTATAAAACAGTAGTAGAATGTTACTTTACGTATTTTAATGGAAAATATCAACATTAAGTCTATAAAAAATTTCAATTTTGGAGTAAAAAAGGAATTTTTAAACAATCTTTCTAACCCCATATATTATAAACATAAAATTGAGATCCAAAAGAGATAATGCAGGTATTTTGCTCCTGGTCTGACAGATACTTGTTGTCACAAATGAGATTAGAATCCAGATTTTCTCACTCAGTGTTACTTTCACATGTAAGAATGCCTTTACCTTCAAATCAGATATTTGGCGCCTCAAACTTCTGAAAATAATAAAAAGAAACTGAAAGGTCAAGAACGTTAAACAACAAAAGGAAAAAACATGATTGGTTGCAACATATAGCAGACATACGTTCTTTATTGATGATAATGGCTATAAACAGGAAGTTTCCTGGCACCAAAGCTGTTAAATTTTGCAAAAATGGAAGGGTGAAGCAAAAGATGAATAGAGCGAAGCATAGCTAAGTATAGCTAAGTTGAAAGTTGAAACCAACTTCCACGTTTTATAATACTGTTTTTCTTTTTCTTTCTTTTTTTTGGAGACAGTTTCACTCTGTCACCCCGGCTAGAGTGCAGTGGCATCATCATAGCTCACTTCAACCTCAAACTTGTGGGCTCATGTGATCCTCCTGCCTTAGCCTCCTGAGTAGCAGAGATTACAGGCAAGCACCACCACACCCAGCTAATTTTTGTATTTTTTGTAGAGATGGGGTCTTGCTCTTGCTCAGGTTGGTCTCCAATTCCTGAGCCGAAACCAGCCTCCTGCCTCAGCCTCCCAGAACGCTATAATTACAGGCATGAGCCACCGCACCTGGCAATACTGTATTTCTTGATGGGTTTTTCCAAACAGTCGTTTCACTTGCTGTCAAGATGGAGGAATGGAGGTAGAGGATAAATAAGATGTGTCAAAGTCTTATGTGTCTTACTGCATGAGGATTTTGTACTTGTTAAAAATCTGAGACAAACATGTAAAGATAATGTATATTCTCTTCATTTAAAAATACTGCTCTAGCCTCGAGTTTTAGATTTGTAACTTGTTTCATAATCAAGAAGAAATACAAGTAAAGCTAATACACATAAATTCTTACATGGTCCTAAAATGTCATTCAGCTTTTAATATTATTTTTCTCATTTGCTCTTTGTAAAATTCTACAATCTTAAAATTATTTAGGGACCAAATGTTGATATCGAAAATAATCTGAACTAGTGGTTTCAATGAGGGACTATTGTGCGCCAGGAGACATTTGGCAATTTCTGGAGACATTTTTGGTTTTCACAATGGGGTATGTGGGTGTGTGTTACTGATACCTAGTTGGGTAGGGGTCAGGTTTGTAGCTAAATATCTGACAGCTCACAGACAGCTTATACACAACAAAGAATTATTCAGCTCAGGATGTCTTTGCCAAGGTTTAGAAATTCTTATCTAGTCCTTTGAATTGATAATAGAAAAGGCACATTTCAAGAGTGCCTGCTGATTTCATAGTTAATGTCCTAAATGTATTTCTGTGTACTGTGGCTTATTCATAGTTGACTATTTTGTGTAGATTTTATGTTATTAAAACAAATATTACCTCACTTGCTTTTTACAAAGTAATGAAGATGCAAACCTTGAGACAGGTAAGTTATTACAAAAAGCAAATCTTAATTTGAGGGTTTCTAATAAAAGTAAAGAGGTGACTATTGTCTGTTGAGAAAGTATCTTCAGTAAAAGACTAAAATTCTATGTATGAACTTAATTTGAATTCTGGTATGTTTTATATAGGCTCCCTGATGGATTTTCTCAGCTGTTAAACCTAACCCAGCTATATCTGAATGACGCTTTCCTTGAGTTTTTGCCAGCTAATTTTGGCAGGTAAATTATAACTTCTTTCAAAATCAGTTATTGTTAGCTCTTGTAAAGTGTACAAAACTACAAACTGCTTTAGAAATACTGTTAATTACAGTTTCATAGGCTCTTTTGTACTTACTTGCAAGCATTGTAGTTTTTTTTTTCTTTCTTTTTTTTATTTTTGGGTCTTTTGGTGAGGACCGGAAAACCTGCTAGACAAATTCTAAAAGAACTGTAACACTGCCAAGCGTTGTAGTTTTTATGGTTTCTTTGGATCTTGTTTTTTCGAAATAGTTTTCCTAAGTAAACAATAAACAATGAAGATTTTTTTTCTTTTTTTTTTTTTTTTTGAGACAGGGTCTCAGTGGTGTCAATGGTACAGTGGTGTCATCATAGCTCACTGTAGCCTCGAATTCCTGGGCTCAAGCGATCCTCCCATCTTAGCCTCCCAAGTTACTGGGACTACAGGCACCACAACGCCCAGCTGTTTTTTAAACATTTTATATAGATGGAGGTCTCACTTTGTTGCCCAAGCTGGTCTCAAACTCCTGGCCTCAAGTGATCCTCCCTCCTTGGCCTCCCTGAGTGCTGGGATTATAGGCATGAGTACCCAGCTATGTTCTTAGCATTACATTCTAAAATGATTTAATATCAAGTCATTAAATATGAAATGTTCGATTTCAAATCAAAAGGTTTATTATATCTCAAACAAGAAGCAGTACAATTAAAGTATGTGCCTAAACTATCGACACGGTTTTGCCATCTTAATGGTAGCTTGCTCATGCCAGCAGCGAAGAAGCCTGGAGAGTGAGTGGCCATGAAATTGTGAACAGAGTTTTCCACGGCTTGTTGAGAATTGAATCATTTTCCTTGCAAGTAGTAGTCCAAAGCCTGGAAGAAGTAGTAATCCATTGGTGCAAGGTCTAGTGAATACGATGGATGACAGTTTCCAAGTCCAGCTGCTGTAATTTGAGCTGCAGTTGGTTTTTTGCCACATGTGGTCTTGCAAGAGAATTGGCCTGTCTCTAGTGACCAATATCTGCCACTTAATCGCAAGCATCCTCATCATTTCGTCCAAGTGGTTGCAGTACACATGTGCTGTAATTGATTGACCAGGTCTCATGAAGCTGTAGTGGATAATACCAGCCCTGGACCACCAAACAGACACCATTAGCTTTTTTGATGAATATTTGGTTTTGGACTGTGTTTTGGCACTCATCTTTATCCAGCCATTGTGCCGAACACTTGTGATTGTTAAAAAGAATCCATTTTTCATCACACATAACAATACAGTGTAGAAATGGTTTGCCTTTATGTCATGACTACAAAGAAAGGCAAGCTTTGAGACAATTTCTCTTCTGATGCTTGTTTAATTCATGTGGAACCCATCTATCCAGCTTCTTTACCTTGCTGATTTGTTTCAAATGGTCCAATATTGTTGAAATAGTAACGTCAAACCTTGCTGCTAATTCATGCATAGGTTGAGATGGATTTGCTTCTACTGCAGCTTTCAGCTCATCATTATCTACCTTGGTCTTAGGTCACCCATGTAGCTCATTTTCAAGATCAAAATCACCAGAATGAAACTTCTGAAACCACTGTCATCTGTGCATTCATCAGCCACATCTTTCCCAAACACTTCACTGATATTTTGAATTGTCTGCACTGCATTGGTTCTGCAATGGAACTCATATAAAAAATAACACAAATTTTTTACTTATCCATTGTTTCACAAAAATTTCTTTAAAAAAACAATAAAGAGGCCGGGTGCGGTGGCTCACGCCTGTAATCCTAGCACTCTGGGAGGCCGAGGCGGGAGGATTGTTTGAGCTCAGGAGTTCGAGACCAGCCTGAGCAAGAGCGAGACCCTGTCTCTACTAAAAATAGAAATAAATTAATTGGACAACTAAAAATATATAGAAAAAATTAGCCGGGCATGGTGATGCATGTCTGTAGTCCCAGGTACTTGGGAGGCTGAGGCAGATGGATCCCTTGAGCCCAGGTGTTTGAGGTTGCTGTGAGCTAGGCTGACGCCACGGCACTCACTCTAGCCCAGGCAACAAAAGCGAGACTCTGTCTCAAAAAAAAAACAAAACAAAACAATAAAGATAATCATAAGCCAAACCATGTGTTTGAAAGAATGAGGATGTACCTTCACAAAAAAATAAAAAAAGAAGTGTCAAAGTAAAATGTCGGAGATATCAACTGTCAAACTTAGTACTTAAGGAAATTGGACATTCCATACTTAATGAGCTAATAATTGGTTAATCTGTCTTCGTTGCTGGAATCAAAATTCTTTTTTGTTTTTTAGAGACAGCATCTCACTCTGTTGCCCAGGCTGGAGTACAATGGTGCAGTCAAAGCTGACTACAGCCTTGAGCTGGGCTCAAGCAATCCTCCTCCCTTCTTCTGAGGGTGTTTGCCACCATACCTGGCTAATTTTTCTTATTTTTTTGTAGAAATGGGGTATTGTTATGTTGTGTAGGCTTGTCTTGAACTCCTGTCCTCAAGCATTCCTTCGTCCTTAGCCTCCCAAAGTGCTGGGATTATAGACACGAGCCATTGCCCTCAGCCCTTGGAATCAAAATTATTGAGAAAAGAGAATCTGTTTCTGGGATCTACCTCATTTTCTCCCCATATCCTTCAAGTCCCTGAGTAATTTTTAAACAAACAGGTGAATGAATAATAAGTATCAAGTTATTATTCAGTTGAAATTAATTACTAGAGAAAGTTTTAGCCAACTAAAAGTTAATTTTGTCGTCATTTTTGTCTAAAATAATTAGTGCACTTGTCACGTTATTCTTCTGTATCTGGCATTTGCATCACTCAGTCTACTCATTTTACCTCTATTTTTAATGGAATGTACATCAGTGAAGTGCCAGAGAGTCTTGTCTTCCTTTTTATTTTGTTTTGTACTCCTTTGTAATTTTTAATATATTACTCTGCACACATAGTTATTACACAGTTATGTTGGTTGCTTTAAAATTTTAGAATATGAAATTGTTGAATTTCTTTTTTCGTTATAAATATTTGATTCGTTATTTGTTTTGCAGATTAACTAAACTCCAGATATTAGAACTTAGAGAAAACCAGTTGAAAATGTTGCCTAAGTAAGTAAAGGTGCTATCATTTTAAGAATTCAATTTAAAATTTTTAATCCTTAAGTCCTTAAAAAAATGTTAATTTTTTATTATTATAATGTGATGTAAGTTATTTTTAAAACCCAACATTTGTGATCACCATATTTGAATTAGTGATGTTAAATATAAAGCTGTATGCATTTGTTGTTGGTGTTTAACTTGGCACTACTGCATTGATAATGATTTTGTAGCTCCCTGAAACGCAGTCTTTTGTATGACATTAAAATCAAAATACGTATGTAAAGTCCACCTGTGTCTCAAATAGAGATCCCAAGTTCACATACTAGAGCTCATACATATTGATTAGAGTAATCCATGGGGTCTTTATGTGAAGCCTGATAACTATAGAACTTGGTTGTCTGGCTTTTTAGTCCATTGTAAATTAGAAATGGATGATTGGTCCCCTAATGGTAAGCTAATATCAAAAAGAGATGGCAATCCAAAAGCAAATGATGAGATTTAATTATAAAAGAAACAGGTCTATAAACTCAAACTGCACTGTGTAGTCTGTGGCCATTTATTGAACAGATGTCTTAAAACACCTTGAATGCATTGCTGTAGTGTTACAGTTTAGGGGTTGGCAAACTATAATCTATAATTAAATCTGGACTACCATCTATTTTTTTGTAAACAAAGTTTCATTGGAAAATGGTCACATTCATTCGTTTACATACTGTCTGGTTGCCTTTTTTTTTTTTTTTTGGAGACAGAGTCTCACTCTGTTGCCCAGGCTAGACTGCCATGGTGTCAGCCTAGCTCACAGCAACCTCGAACTCCTGGGCTCAAGCAATCCTTCTGCCTCAGCCTCCCGAGTAGCTGGGACTACACGCATGCACCACAATTTTTTTCTATATATTTTTAGTTGTCCAGCTAATTTCTTTCTATTTTTTTTAGTAGAGATGAGGTCTCGCTCTTGCTCAGGCTGGTCTCGAACTCCTGAGCTCAAATGATCTGCCTGCCTCGGCCTCCCAGAATGCTAGGATTACAGGTGTGAGCCACCGCGCCCGGCCCTGTCTTGTTGCTTTTGCTTTAGGGTGATAGAGTTGAGTAGTTGTCACAAAGATTGTGCAGTCCACAGGGCCAAAAATATTTACTGTTTGGCCCTTTACAGAAAAAAATTGCCAACTCTTGTTGAAATTACATCATCAAGACTTGTCAGCACTGAGGAGAAAAACATCTCCAGTTACTCCAGGAGTTAGTTGTTTAGTTTATTCAGCTTCTATGACATCGTATTTAGATCTGTTATGATATTTGCCACATAATTTTAATGTATGTTTATACATATGTCACTCTCTTTTTCCCTGACCAACATATGCACATTCATGCACATGTGTACGAGTCTCCCACCTTTCCCCCCACGATTTTAAGTCTTTGAGACCATGTCTAGTTTTTATTCCCAAAAGACAGTATGTTTTAGCTGAGTAATAGTTCAGTGCATGAATGAATGAAGCTTATAGTGATGGTTGTGAGTATAAATTAAAGTAGAAATTATGATCCATATTAAAATTCAAAAAGGTCTATATATTTTACCTATCTGGTACTCACAGTGATAACTCTTTACCTCGAAACTTGATTGGTTTCTAAGAGATTTGAATAACAAAGATGCAAATTGTTTATTTTAATAGCTAAGTCTACAATTAATATGGTCCCTCTGATATCATAGGCAATTCAATGATTTTAACTCCTTTTAGAGATTCAAATTAGGCTCTGTCAATGAATTTGCTAATATAATTCTTTCCTCCTTTCTTTTTAAGATATATAGTTACAATCTTTGAGACCTCACAAACTATAAAGAGGCTACAGTTTTAAATATTATAAAGCTATATGCATTCAGGATATGCAGTGACTTTTTTTAACGACCAAAGATTAGTGCAATGGAAGAAACTGTTGTTTTAGATCCATAGTTAAGTGAAATTTAATACCACCTAGATACTGGAGGGCACAGTACCAAGGACATAAAGTATGATTTAAACTTCCTGTGAGGAAAGGAGAAGATAAAATGAGTTAAATACAAATGAATTTTAGAGGTAGACTGGAGGAAATTTGGGAGTTATTTCTATTTTCTCCTTGAAGTATGAAGCTGAAGTAGGAAGCTGGACCTTGAAAAGTAGGAAGCTACATCTCTAAGATGCAATTTTGTTTCTGAGATTTCTAAACAATATGAGTAGCACTAAAGTTATTGGTATTGGCTATAGAAACTTGAGGTGGAGACACATTTTTGACTTTATATTTACCCTTTTTATTGTATATGTGTATCATTCACATTTTCCTAAAATTATTTTAAAAGTTAATTTTTCTGGGACGTCATTTATAATTGAATTTTTCCAATGCACTTTTATTCTTGTACCCTTTTCTAAATCTGTCATGCTTTATTTTTACAAATTACCCCCATTATGCTCAGTTGCCTGTGAATTTTCTATCTTGTCATTATAACAGTATTGAAGCAAGAAATGTGAGAGATTTATGTTTTATTCTTTCAATCTTCCACCTCTTCACAGCCTTCTTTACGTTTTTCAGATCCCCACCTGGTATAGTTATTTGAACATACGAGCTTACTATTGCAGCATGTGATTTTATACATCTGAAGAAAGATCCTAGAAATACCTTTTGCTTTGTTATGAAGGAAACTAGAACTTTACAGGTTTTCTGGACAAAGGCAGATATGAGTAAGGGAAATAGAATTATAGTACTTTAGAATAGATACTCAATACATCTAACTTAAAGCAGCTTTGTAAAAAAAATTGACAATGTGAGATGAATTAAAGGGTTGGTGAGAGAATGACATATATAAAATGTAAAGGTTGGGGAAGATTAGCTTCTTCTGATTTAGGTCAATAACAGTGTCATTACAATTGTGCTGTTTCTTCTTATATTCCTTCACTAAAAAGCTGGAGAAATGTTTTAACTGAGTTTTACTTTACTTATTTTATTTGTTAAAATTCCAAAGAAGCTAGAAATAGTTGTGTTTTTGTGCCATAATTTAAGGTGCTGGTGGATTTTAAATGATGTCCATTTCCAAAGTATTAACATAGTAATGTAATACACTGATAATATGATAATAACTATATTTTGCTATCATTTTGTCATATCCTACAAAATTGTTAATGTGGAGTTTCTTATCTGGATAATTGGTAACATCTTGATGTATTAAATAATACGTTTTTCTAAAAATAGCACCTAATAGCATAAATATTTGAATTACTTAGCAGTTAGTTTAATTTCAACAGGTACCTTTGCGAAAGGAGAAATAAGAATACAACATAATTTTTTTCATTACAAAACCAGTTTGTACATTTTTCAAGATCCTGTAATTGCAAAGAAGTGTTGATATTTAGTTGGAAATTAAGAATTGTATATTATTGCTTTAATTTAAAATAAATGTCATCTAATTATATCTGTGATTCTTATAAAATGTTATTTTGAATTGTATTGGATTTAATTTGAAATGTGGGGAGCAATGTAATGTTTACTATTCCTCTTAGCATTTTGAAAATAAATTTTCAGAGTTATCTTGAAGTTTTACAAATATATGAGCAGTCTTGAAAAAGCCTTTTTGCAATTATGGTAGTAATTATTTATGTATCTGCCAAACAATCTGATTTATTAGCTGATTTGTACTATATGAAAATTTATTCTGTGAAAAGCTGGAAATTCATTATTCATATTCCGGCCTATAGGTTTAAATTTATTGCAGTTGCTTCTTGAGAATATAAATGAAAAGTCTGGTGAGAAGCCAGAATTAGAGAATAATTGATAATTTATCTAGAAATTAAATGTGACTTATTTTTCCTAGAAAATTAACATTTTTATTTTGTCAACATGTGAAAGCCCATATTTCATTACTCATTACATAAGAATGTTTTAAACTAGTGGTCCCCAACCTTTTTGGCATTGGGGACTGGTTTCATGGAAGACAATTTTTCTGTGGACGGCCAGGGGAATGGGGGCGGCTGTAAATACAGATGAAGCTTTGGCAGTATGTGACCCAACAATATTTTGGAGGGTGGGGACTGGTAGAGCTCAGGCAGTGCCGCATGGTCCAATTCCTAACAGGCCATGGACCAGTACTGGGCCGTAGGCTGGGGGTTGGGGACCGCAGTAACCATGAAATCTGAAAACTTCCATGTAATTGAGATTTTTGTATAGTTAATTCTTTATTATTCCATTATGAATAGAACCATGAATAGACTGACCCAGCTAGAAAGACTGGATTTGGGAAGTAATGAATTCACGGAAGTGGTAAGTTCTTATCAGTCTCACTATCTGTAATTGTTATATTTGATCAAGAACAAATGTGAAAATTAAAGATTTCTCTTAAAAATTACATAAAGATATATATTTTTTTGAGGTATGAAGTATGAGTTCTTAACCAGAACTTTCCAGACAGAAAAATATTCAGACATTTAAAAATCTCACATAAGTAAGGATAAAATGTAAAATTAATGAGCGATTCGTGGAAGAGAGATCTAAAAGTTTTTCAGCACAGGAAGCAGAAAATTTCAATGATTACAAGTGAGAAACGTTAGTCTAGAATGCAGCAGGTGAAGTCGTTCTGTGTCAAAAATAATTCCCTTGAGTATTACTTAGGAATTTATTCAGTGATAGGATACTTCTCTATAATTTTACTTAATAGCTAAGGGGAAAATCATTGAGTGAAACAACTGTTATTTTAGAGGTGGTAATAAGACCTTTTCGTTGTTTGTGCTTTATATACTAAGTGCACTATAATGCTGAATCTAAAAGGAAAGGAGTGTGTAAGCAGTTTTTGTTTTTAGTGAGTTTTCCAGGAGAACTCAGAAAATAAGCTAGGTTTTTTTTTTTTTGAAGAGGAATTAATCAGGCTGAATATCATTATCATTAAAATTTTTTAAATTAGTTTGCAAGTTTGTTGTTTAAAATTATGTAGCTTTCAAATAATAGTCTTAAGAACAAGGATTTCTCAGAACTGTTTGCTGTAGTATTTCTTTCTGAGTATTGTACCATGATGGTTTGGAGTACCTCATATTTTCTCTAAAATACTCTCAAATTTTTCTATAATGCATGCTGTATTTCCTAAATTATCTGTCTATTATGCCCTTTCTTAATGTTTGTGTTATATATATTAATCTGTTTCCATATTAACTATTTTAAAATTCTCAATAATTTTAAAATTTGAGAATTTTAAAATTCTCAATTAATTTTCAAAATCTAGTAAGCTTTCAAAATCATCAAGTTTTATACCAATTTGGTCATCTGATATTATGCATTTTTAAAAAAACTTATAGAAGTACAATATAGCACAAAAGGAAATTTCTTTCAATCCAAGTTACATCTAGAATTCTTCACTGTATTTATATGTCAATGGTAAATCTGAATGACATGCCTTTTATGTATGACTCGTGTTATTACGGTGATTAGATATGATGGTACTCTACCATTACATGATCATTGACTGGACATGGCTTTGTGAGGTTACAGAAATAACCTTGAAGAGGGCATTTCAGTCTTTAGCCTCAAAGGGCCAATGCCTAAGAGCAAATTTTCGCCTGGATATCAAGGTCCACCACAACATTTGGATTAATTTTTAGGTCCCCAATACCATATTATAAACAATTTTCCACCATGAAATTAGAAATGTTTTCTAGGAATTTAAATAACAGAATGTTCTTATCATGTGGTAATGCCTTTATTTACCTTTCTTTTATTGTTCGACATTTAGGATATATGTTGCCTTTTTTATCCTTTTTAATTGTTACCAGGGAATATCTTTGTGATTTTCCTAAAATTTTCTAACAAACAATATCTTTTTATTGATAATGAATGAGAGTATGCTTTTATTGTACACATCGAAGTAGTAGGTGCTATTTTTATTTCTTCATGAATTTTAGAAATACTTGACCCTATTGTATAATCCAAAGCTTAAATGAATTTTATGTAATCTATGCTTATGGAGTGTTGTCTCTTTGATTTCTCCCTTAATAATGTTATTGTAGTAACTGTAATGCAGTGGAAAGGCTCACATCTGGCTCTGCTTTTTTATTTTTCCTATTTTTTCCCCTTTATTTAATGTTTTAAAACTAAAAGTTACCATTAGAAATTCCCAGGGCTGCTTTTATCAGATAAAGACATTCAGATAACTTAATTGGATATCTCTCCCCCTACCTTCTATCCAAATAGCCTGAAGTACTTGAACAATTAAGTGGATTGAAAGAATTTTGGATGGATGGTAATAGACTGACTTTTATTCCAGGGGTATGTATATGAAATTTTTAGTGGTTTCACTTATTGCTCTCTCCTTTGCAGTTTTGTGAATTGTGCATTTTGAAATTACTTTTAATTAGTAAAAAACAAAAAGGATTGTTATTTAATTCTTTATTAAACAGAAGCAAATTACGTTTTTTTTTTACTATGAACACATTCTTGATTAAATTCTGAAAACTCCCATAATAAACTTTTGCAAAATAGTCCCTCTTTAATACTGTAGAATGTGTCCTTTCCGGTGGTACCAACTGAATCTATTTAGGTTATTAAGTATGAAATGTCCAATTTCCTTAAGTGCTAAGTTTGACAGTTGATATCTCTGACATTTCACTTTGACACCTCTCGTTTTACTTTTATTGTGAAGGTACATCCTCAGTCTTTCAAATGCCTGGTTTGGCTTGCAATTATCTTTCAAATTTTTTTTAGAGCAACTTTTGTGAAACCATGGATAAGTCAAAAATTTGTGTTATTTTCGAATATGAGTCCTGTTGTAGAACCAATGCAGTGCAGACAATTCAAAGTATCAACAGACTGTTTGGGAAGGATGTGAGTAATAACATACAGTAATCAATGGTTTGAGAAGTTCTGTTCTGGTGATTTTGATCTTGAAAATGAGCCATGTGGATGGTGTCATGTAGACCTGAGACCAAGGTGGATAACAATGAGCTGAAAGCAGTAGTGGAAGCGAATCTATCTCAACCTTGCGTGAATTAGCAGCAAGCTTTGACGTTACTATTCCAATGGTATTGGACCGTTTGAAACGAATCTGCAAGGTAAAGAAGCTGGATAGATGGGTTCCACGTGAATTAAACAAGTGTCAGAAGAAAAATCAACTCAAAGCTTGCCTTTCTTTGCTGTCACGACATGAAGGCAAACCATTTGTATACCGTATTGGTACATGTGATGGAAAATGGATTCTTTTTGACAGTCGCAAGCATTCGGCACAATGGTTGGATAAAGATGAAGTGCCGAAACACAGTGCCGAATATTCAAAAAAAGCTAATAGTGCCTGGTGGTCCAGTGCTGCTGGTATTATCCATTACAACTTCATGAAACCTGGTCAGTTGATTACAGTGGATGTCTGCTGCAGCCAGTCGGATAAAATGATGAGAATGCTTACAATTAAGCAGCTGAGACTGGTCACTGGAAACAGGCCAATCCTCTGGCAAGACAACACTCGACCACATGTCACAAACGATGCTGCTCAAACTACAGAGGCTGGACTTGAAAACTCACTGTCATCTACTGTATTCACCAGACCTTGCACCAACTGACTACCACTTTTTTCAGGCTTTGGATCACTTCTTGCAAGGAAAAATATTCAATTCTCAACAAGCTCTGGGAAACGCCTTTCATGATTTCGTCACCACTCATGCTCTCCAGGCCTCTTCTCTGCTGGTATAAACAAGATACCATTAAGATGGCAAAACTATGTCGATAGTTTAGGTACATACTTTGATTAATTGTACTGCTTCTTGTTTGAGATATAATAAACTACACTTTGGATTCAAATCGGACATTTTATATTTAATGACCTAATATATCCTAATTCAGTTTGCCAAGGTTAACCTATGATATTTTCCATGAACTTTCTGTTTTAAAGACTGGCAAATTGTTTACTCCCATTTCTAAAGAAGTCATAAGAATCTCCATATATGCTGTATCACCAGAAGGTGATGGGCAGCCTAGTTCCCAAAGAAAAGTATATGTCCTTTGTCACTCTGCTAGGCTAAAATTAGTAGTTCTTAGCTTTATTGCTGAATACATTTCTACTGGCATTTTAAAAACAATTTGAGCTGGGCGTGGTGGCTCACACCTGTAATCCTAGCACTTTGGGAGGCTGAGGCAGGCAGGAGGATTGCTTGAGGCCTGGAGTTCGAGACCAGCCTGGACAACATAGTGAGACCGCATGTGTATAAAGGTAAAAAAAAAAATTAAAAAATTAGCTGGGTGTGGTGAGTCACACCTTGTAGCTACTCGGGAGACTGAGGCAGGATGATCCCTTGAGCCTGAGAGTTTGAGGTTACAGTGAACTTTGATCCAGCCTGGGTGACAGAGCAAGACACTAAAAAAAATGAATAAATAAAAACCAATTTGGGAGTCTTCTTTCTTGTATTAACATTTAATTTTGAATTAAAACTTGGTATTAGGTTTATTACTTTTTACAAATTACTTAATATTGACAGAGTGATTAGATTTTCTTTTTTTACTTGTAGTTTATTGGTAGTTTGAAACAGCTCACATATTTGGATGTTTCTAAAAATAATGTTGAAATGGTTGAAGAAGGAATTTCAGCATGTGAAAACCTTCAAGACCTCCTATTATCAAGCAATTCACTTCAACAACTGCCTGAGACTATTGGTTTGTATTGCTTTCAGATTCATGTAATTAACTTTTAAAGTAAATTCAAGGCTTCCATATAATCTCAGATTTTATTTGTTATGAAGTAATTTTTCCTGATGTGACGAGTTGCACAATTTACTCCCTTGTTGAGGTTACTGTGTTTTTATTTAGTCTAGGAAATCTCATTTTTATAACTAATAAATTTAAATTCTTTAAAAAGAAGTTAGGCCAAGTGCAGTGGCTCACACCTGTAATCCTAGCACTCTGGGAGGCCAAGGTGGGAGGATCCCTTGAGCCCAGGAGTTTAAGGTTGCTGTGAGCTACGATGACACTACTGCACTCTACCCAGGACCACAGAGTGAGGTCTCTCTCTCAAAAAAAAAAAAAAAAAGGAAATTGAACCTTACTCCTCCCCCTCTAAAAAAAAATGGTTAATTTATCCAAATTTGATTTAACTCTTGATCATAGCCCTTATTTGGTAACTTTTTTCAGTCCTACTTCATTATAGACACTCAGACAAGAAAACAGACCAGTTGAGCAAATCCCGAGAGATCTATAATTGCTATTATTGAGTCTGTTTGTGTAGTAGTTTGATGATACATCAAGGTAATTGAATTATTTTGATGAAAGTACCAAAAACTTCAATCTTGGCATCTTCATGGTATTTTAATATAAAAACTAAAAACATTTT